TAAGTGTCGTGCACTTGTGGTGGCGGTGATCTTCCCCCGCAAGATGGTGAGATCCGGCACCAACCTACTCGTCGGCTTGTGGGGTTTTATCCCTACCAGGTATCTCCAACTAGCAGGGCTCCAACCCTGCCGGGACAAGCTCCAAGCTCCCGGCAGCCTTCCAAAATATATGATAGTGTAGTGCATGTAAGGGTAAATTTAAGTAAGGGTTGAGGATTTTACGAAGAAGAGAATGGGGAAGGAAAGTTCGAGTGCGGCCCGTGGCCCGAGTGTTAGGTACTACTCCGGCCTTCGCTTTGTGTTGATCGGAGAAACCATGGAAAACTACCCGATCAGAGCAGTCGTCCGTTAGAATTCTCCTCCAGACCGCGGCTGAATTCGGCTTAGAGTGAGCTAGTGGTGGCGGTTGTGGAGTTGATGTGAAACTGATGACCGAACCGATAAAATGATGCTGGTGATGTTTGTGACTGACAGCAGTGGCGGGTACGGGTGTGGATTTGGTGGTATGTTGTGATGAAAGAGGAATTTAAAGTGAGATAGAAGAATGCTCTCAGTTATTACCACCCATACAATTTGAAATGCAATTTGTTTCATTTACTTAAATATTGAGAAAAAATATATAAGAAACAACTAAATATTATGTTTATACTCTTTTCCCGTCACTTTCCTTTCAACTGCATTCATCAAAACAATAGTGAAATATTTCCTTCGGAGTAAACTAATTTCTTTTCAGAGAATTGATGCAGCGAATGAGTCACTATAGATTGGTCAAATGCACGTAAGCACGTGTGAGGACGTGGATGTGGCGTCACACATTTGTAGAATGGAAAGCGCTGAAACATATGAAAATGTCTTGTTCTATCCGTTATCAATTGTTAATAAGAGAATGGAAATGAATTCTAAGAATTTGTTGTTTTACTTTTGAAACTGAACAATAACGTCTTCATCGGGTTCCATCATTGCCACTTTATACTGCTGTGTATCTGTTGTTCTTTACTCAGAGCACTCGTACACTCTTCGTCATGAAGATATTCAATAGCGGTGTATGAATCAGCGTTTTCCGTCTTGTGTTTTTGATGTATTTGGCTGATACAGAGAAAACATGGCATTTTATGTCTCTAAAGGAGCTGTACATTTACGTAACGATATAACATCGTCATTTATGAATGATTGATCATAGTTGCAGCAGTTGATTGATGAAAGCATCTACAAAGAGCTACAATTACATTTGAAGTAAAAAGGAAATTGGGCTCCAAAGATGGTCCCTGCTCATTTACTGCCTCCTCAGTCGTTCTGACTGAAGAGGGGCAGAGCCCGTCCTGTAATTTTTTGTTGTATTTCGTCGTTTTCCCAATAGGTAGCTCTCTCATCTTTATTACGAAATGTGACACGAAGCTTGTAGATGCTTCTTGCTCAATACCGATTGGTTTCCATCGATATTAATATATCTTTGCATGTTTTTGTAAACATACGGATTCATTTGTTGACTTTTCTATCATTACTGCCGCAAGGCGTGGTAGGAAAGTAATATTTGTGGAAATGGAAGAGGTTACTCAGTGGGTGGACGATATTTTGAATGACAGTGATGAGGAATTATTTAATGAAGCAGGTGATATTTGCTGACATGGGTACGTCAGTATGGTGACGTAAAAACGTAAACGGTAAAGTGGTGGAAATTTACTACTCTGAAAATAAATATTAACATTTCATTTTTAATGACTTTTGATTCAAATAAATTAATTACAATCTTGTAATGAAAGTTCTACCTTAAAATAAACAATTTACGTTAACCAATATAATTATTATTTTATATATTTATTATTATTTGATGTCGTGGTGTGCCGAAGGAAATTCGGCCCCAGGAGTCATAAATATTTTTTTTAATGAGCTTTGAATGGAATAAACTATCTTTCAGTGGGTGGCAAAGTAATGTTTTGGTGGAGATTTAAGACACGAAATACCTAAACCAACGATATCTAAAGTTCGGATTTCTACATTAGAAATAGAGCCGGACTTGTTACTTCTTTATAATGGTATGTCTGTGGTATACGGAAGCGTCTAAACTGTTCTCATTATTTTCTCCAAAATTCATTTCCCTAATTGATCTGGACGAACTCGAAGCTCTGATAGTTTATGACATTATACGTTTTTAGGATATTTTACATAAATCTTCAGCAGCATTTTCAAAATGTTCTCCAAAATAAAAAAAATGAATTTCTTTGACTAAACTTTTTCCTCGCATCCTCCAATTCAAACTTAAAATATAGAGCAGGTCTCAGAAATCTCTGAATTTTGGAAAATTCCAAAGTTTAAACCTTTTCAAAGTGTCCTATAATTGCAACCAATTTTTTGCCAATTCACATGCCAATTTGCACTTCTTTTACGTCTTTGAAAAGCTTATTTTGGTATACTTTCATTTATATAGTATAAGAGACAAAACTAATAGAAACAAAAAAGAGTAAATGACCAATGGCAATTACACTAAGAACTTCTTAAACTTAAAATTGAGTGACGGAGACACACACACACACACACAGATGGTGCGTAAGTAAGAGAGAGAGTGAGAGAGACACAGAAAGAGGCAGAGTGACATAGAGAGAGAGACAAACAGAAAGAAAGACAGGGACAGATAGAGACGGATGCAGTTAGACAGTGTGTGAGAGAGAGAGGCAGACAGAGACAGGGACAGTCAAGCAGACAGAGGCAGACAAGGCAAACAAGACACACAAAGACAGATAAAGGCAGGGGCAGACAGAGACATACTGACAGAAAGAGAAAGGCACTGAGGCAGGGAGAGAAACAAGCAGACAGACAGATACAGAGAGAGATATAGACAGAGAGAGCGAGACAGACAGACAGACAGACAGACACAGACAGACAGTCTGACAGACGGACAAACAGACATTCACAGAGGACAGAGGTGCAGGGTCAGAAATGGAGTCAGAGAGGGGCAGAAACAGATAGAGGCAGAGACAGAGATATAAGACAAGTAGTCAGACAGACAGTGGCAGGAACAGAGGGAGACAGTGAGAGGTGACAGTGGCAGGATTGATATAGAGACGGTGAGAGAGAC